GCCAATAAATGTGTGCTTCTATACTTATCAAAAGGATGAGAAGAGTAACTAGAACAGTGCATTATCCTCTCAGTGGTTAAACAGTTCTATACAAATAACTTTAACAGGTTTTAAAGATTTATCAATACGAGAAAAATGAAAACAACGTAAGCAGATGTGATCAAATGTAACTAATGCTAGCACACATAGAAGTCTATGATAAAATCGACTCATGATTATTTTTCTAGACTAGAATAGAATAGATCAATAGATTCTAATCTCGATCTTCATCTGGAAAAGATAGTCCGGCCATGAAGAGTTACTGGCAAAAGGATCAGCCATGCTATGTTTCTTAGTGGTTTTGGATCCTAGTGCTGGCCTATCATGGTGCCATGATATTTTGGCGTACAAGTTTCTGAATGCAATGAAGATTTCTTACAAGCTAACATGATCCCTTAGTGAAGAAGAAAAAGGAACTTGGAAAGTGGTAAGTATTGTGAGTTACAAGATCCCTTGGAAAAGGAAGCACAAAAGACCAAGATGAAGATTAGAACTTAGAAGTAGCATTGTTTTGCAAAAGCTTGTGTCTGAAAAGTTTTGTAAGTTAAGCATTTCTTCCTGTTGTAGTCAGTGGACACACTGAAGGCAGCTTTGCAGTGACTCTTATTGAGTTTTCGGACATTTAAGTTTACAGGGTATGCAAAGATTAGCTGGATTAGGTGGATATAAGTAAAACAATGCAATCTGGTTGGTCAATGATGGTGAAAGCCTGGGTTGCAGTAGTTGAAAGAAAGTAGGGGCAGAAGAAATGGAAGTTCAGATACGGCTCAAAACCTGATAGGAACATATAGTAGTGTTGCATTGCATAATACAAGATTTTGACTTTTAATATGAAATGAGTTAACTGGAATATGGATCTTCATTTGTTTTAATCCATCCTTTTTGATTGCCAAGCGTTTAACAACCATCCCCATATTGACACACTCCATCTCCACAATATTGTGCCAATATAAATCATTTTGACCCTGAATTAGTGATCCCAAATACGCAGGGAATATTGATATGAGGTTTGAATTCACCCGTGCTTTGCCATCAGTAGATTATTTACATTTTGCTTTTGTTTCTATAATTCACATTAAACCTGATGGGGGTTCGTTGGATTATGATTAACATTTTGATTTGTTCATGCAGCTGCGGTACTTGTGGATATGATCTAAACCTGAACTCGTCCAAAAGGAACACATCAACCATTGGTTCCAAATATTCTAAATCCATAAAGAAGGGGATCATTACCTTTTCCTCCATCGATCAGAACCGATTCAATCAGGTCGAAGATATCGGTTGCGTACCCTACTTCATTTCTAAGCACTCTCGGGGTTTGTTCAGACGGAAAACCAAACTTTTGTGCCCGAAATGTGGTAACCATATTGGTAATGCTTATGATGATAATACTTTTTCTTATTCCCTTATACGAAATGGTTCAAGCTCACCCTCTAGCAGTGAAATCTCCAATCCGAGAAAATATGATATCAGAATTCGTTCATTGCAACCTTCTGCAGAATATGGTTTTCCATCTGTGTTGTAATGTTCCCGTGAAGCATTCATATCATATGCTGTCGATAAATATGTTCTATGATTATTAGTCACAATAATGCTCTAGCAGTGAAGAAATATAGCTCCCCATGAAACCCTGTCTAATTGTTCTGCATAAGAAAAGTTTTTGCCATATATTTTTCTGGGAATGTTGTAAATATTCTTATGCTTATTTTGGCTTTCTTTTGCTCCATGAAATATTACTATCCGTGAAGCAACATTGTGAATGGAATCATTTGTATTCATGATTGTCTTGTTTTCTTATACTTGCTTTTAAGTTTTTCAACTTTTTAGTAGGGGTGGCCATTTTTCCCCGGAATCGTTGGAACTGGACCGAACCAAATAGACCTGGTCGTTTCGGTTCCGGATCCTTTACTAAACGGGTCGATTTTGGGACAATGTATTGAGAATCGTTCAGTTCTGGTCCGATTCTCAGTATTTGCCTTAAGAACTATAGTGAATTCAGTTCTTTCGAATTTCTCTTTTTAGCTTGCACCAAGTGCACTAAATCTTTAAACACCAGACTCCAAAATTATTTTCACATTAAAATTTCATTTTCCATATGTTTCTTTTTCCTTCCTTTAATGGGTAACCAAAATTCAAGTCTAAAAAATTTTATAAATACTTTACAAATTCATAGCTTTAATGCCAACCTAATAGGGAAAAATATATTTGTATTTCAATATTTTATAAGAGTTCAAATTTTTCGTTGTTTTCCAAGTGACTTGGCATTAAAAATTAAGATCCTTGAAGATTATTGAAGATGATCAGGTTATTGTTATACGAGTTTTCTTAAAATCTATTTTTCAATTGAAATTTTTCTGTTTGTGTTGTGTTTTTAATAATTTATCTTCTTTTAGCTTTTATGAGTTGATCTAGAGCTTTGGAGTGGATTTTTATTTGTTGCATTGTTCAATTTATTTTTTGTAATGTTAGATTCAAAGAATGACAAGTGTTTTCATTTGTCTATTTTCAATTGACAAGTAATTTCATATTTTATTTGTATAATTTTTCAATATAAAAAACCGGACAGAATCGGAATCGGTTGGTTCAATTCCGGTTCGATTCTATAGTTGGATATGGAATCAATGGTTTTATTTCTAAGATTCTCATTGGTACTTGATTCGAATATCTTCAGAATCGGACTGTGTCAACTCTTACCTTTTAGACATTTTTTTTAAGTGATGTACAATGTTTTGTGTATTTTGTTTTCTTTCTTGTACCTTTAGACGGAGTAAGAGGAAGAAGAATGCACCATTGTAAGTGGGGCATGATAACGAAGAAAAAATGATAGAAGATGGTTTTCTTAAATATCACATAAATAGCGAAGATATAGCATAATTCTAAATTGTTTCTACTTCTATTTTATATGATAACTTGTTATGTGATTTACTAATTAGAGAATTTGTACTTCTTTATTCATCAATTTATCTTTATTGCAACTTATACTTCTAATTTTGTTTATAAATATTAAAATAGGTTTAAGGTTATTATGATTTAGGAGTGTTGCTTGGTTTGCCCTTTGACGGGGCGAGTGTTACGGTTTCATCAATATATTTTTATTATTGGAATTGCATTTTTCACTCATATATGAGCTGGTTCACTAGTTAATTCGTGCGAATCAGCCAGCGGTTCGCACGAGAAAATTGTCGTTCAGTTCCCGCGACTCATCTAAAGGGTTAACTGAGCCAATGAGTTGAGCTCCCCACTTAACACCTCTAGCTACGAGCCTTGAACATGTTGGTTATGTTTAGTTTCTGGGAGAAAAATTATTTTCAAAACGTTTTTTAAATTTTATTAAGAGTGTGGTAAGACCGTCAATGATTAAATGCGTTCACTATAATCTTGTGAACATAATTTAATGCTTGCTTCATACTATTTTTTTTTAGAAAAAAATTTATCAACTTTTTACTTGGTCAAACTTTAATTTTAACAATAAATTTTGGGTTATGTTATATGTACATCCAATTTTTTACATAATCTTTTACCACCTACACTGACTGTTGGGAATTTACTTAACATGCACAGCGGAAATAAAACAATTTTCAATTCCCAAACGAGGATCTGCAGTGTGTTTAGATAGAAACTGTGATGAGGATGATACCTTTGATGAATTCCACAAACTCTTTTGTTTTTTCTTGAATTCTAATGATCATGATCTGCAATCCAAGCTGTCCAATTGTCCAATCTTCAATGGTGATCCACGCAGAGAACATGAATGACGGCTAGGGTTTTCTTTTCTTGTGCTAGCAAGAATAATGAAAATTTCATACTGTTTTCAAACCCTACTAGCCTATTAATATAAGTCCAAATGGGCTCAACCCATCTGTTAAACTTAACCCGATCTAATATTTAATTAATCAAATTAATTAAAGAGGAAATTACACCTACACATGCTTTTAGATTTCCAATTTCACAAATAAGGTTACAAGTTTAACATTTCAAGAATCAGGTTTTAATTAAAAATTTTAAAACTTTTTTTTATATAATTAATCTAATCAAACCCTAGGAACAAACCCTCCCCATGCTCTCCCCCATTTCTACCCGTCGCCGCCACTC